AACCAACCAAGTGGTTTTTAACTTTTTATGATTGGTTTTTGCTTCTGGGCATATTTAAATAGTTCTCCAACAAAAACGCCTCAAAAACCACTTTCCGTTTTTGGTCGTTTAGTGAAAACCATGCTAAACGGCACGAACTTGGTTAGTCGTGGTTTTCAACTAAATGACGTGGTTTTTAAAATGTTTTACTTGATTTCTTAGCAAAATGCAATAAAAAAATGTTTTCAATACTTGGTTTTTACTTTGGAGAACTTGTGTTTTTGACATCGGCTAACGGCGTGACTAAATCAACCATGGGTCTCGCTAAACCAGCCCAACAGCGATGTTGAGGTAACCAACAGCGCTGTCTGGCTTGAGTAGCTAAAAACATGGTTTGGCGTTAAGTCTTCCAACAGCGATGTTGGATGTTAGACATCGCTGTTGAGCCAAGGTTGGATTTCCAAAAACTTCTGGAACAGCGATGTAGGCCTCCCTACAGCGCTGTCCAACCTAAGCCAAAAATATAGTGCATTGGCAGAAAGTTTCAGGACAGCGATGTTGACCCAGCAACAGCGCTGTCAAGCCAAAACTCCACCTTCAAAGGCAGACCTAAACAGCGATGTTCTAGTATGGAACATCGATGTAGAGACCTGACCGTTGGAAGGAATTTAAGGCTAAAACTTTCCTTGTTTGGAAGTCAACAACCAAAACAGCGATGTAGGGATTTTAGACATCGCTGTTGGCATGACCGTTGCTTCCCATTTTACAAAACGCAAGCCTAGAACAGCGATGTCCAAGCCTAGGACAGCGCTGTCTGGGTGAATTTCAACAGATCCAATCTTCATCAAATCCCACAAATTGTGCCAATCACCCCTTAAATACTTTGGTCCGTTGGAGCCTATTTTTCTACTATAAAATGGGGTGTTTGGGTCTGTTTTACACATCACATTACTTCACAACTCCTACTCTTTCATTGCAAATCATTCTTCAATTATTCGTAGCTTTTGAGAGCCATTTTTGTGAAGCTTGTGTTGTGTTCTTGAGCGTTCTTAGTTTACTCATTATCCACTCTAAAAGAGAGTATTGTTCTTGAGTGTTTTTAGTGTTCTTAAACACTTGACAAGAGAAGGTATTTCTCTTGTTGTTCGAAGGAAGGGCTGTTTCCTTCAAAGGTTCGTTGAGGTTTGTGTGACTCGAATTCTCAAGTTGTACGGGTTTGTTAAGCACCGTTAAGCTTAACGAGGTAGTAGTGTAGCTCGAGAGAGTCTCTCGGGAGGCTGGATTAGCCACAAGTTGTGGTGAGCCAGGGTAAAATCGGTGTGCCTCTTACTCTTCTCTTTACTTCTCGTTTATTCATTTTTTTATTCCTGCAATTTTTGATCAAACGCTATTCACCCCCCCTCTAGCGTTAGTCTCTTATTCTAACAATAGGTATCGGAGCCTCACTCGCGTCCAAACTTAACCGTTTGAGAGTAAAGCGATCATGGGCTCTTCTTCTAGAAATCTCTATGCAGGAATTGGAGAAGGTCAATCAACTTCTAGGCCACCACTCTTTGATGGAACGAACTACTCTTATTGGAAGGAACGGATGAGAATCTACATTCGTTCCACCAACTTCCAATTGTGGTTGGTGATCAAAAATGGCGAAGAAATCCCTATGAAGAAAGTGGGAGAAACCACGGTCCCATAGACCGAAAACGAATTTGATGCCGAGGACATCAAGAAGATTGAAAACTATGCAAAGGCCATCAATATGCTATATTGCGCGGTCAACCCCGATGACTACCGAAAGATCTCCTGTTGCACAACCGCCAAGGAGATGTGGGACAAGCTTGAAGTGACGTACGAAGGTACCGATCAAGTTCGCGAAGCCAAGATCGATTTTCTCACCCAAGAGTACGAAATGTTCCGGATGAAAGAAGGTGAGAAAATTGATGACATGTTCGACCGTTTTTCAAAGATCATCAACGACCTTCATGCTCTCAAAAAGACTTACACCAACAAGGATCTCGTGAGGAAAATCCTGCGAAGCCTCACACCCGAATGGAGGTCAAAAGCCGATGCAATCTATGAATCCATTGGAGTCTCCAA